TAAACGGTACAGCAACGGTACGGCAACGGTAACGCAACGGTACAGCAACGGTACAGCAACTGACATCAACGGTACAGCAACGGTACAGCAACAGTACCGCAACGGTACAGGAACGGTACAGCAACTGTACATCAACGGTACAGAAACGGTACAGCAACGGTACAGCAACGGTACAGCAATGGTACAGCAACGGTACAGCAACGGTACAGCAACGGTACAGCAACGCTACAGCAACGGTACAGCAACTGTATATCAACGGTACAGCAACGGTACAGCAACGGTACAGCAACGGTACCGCAACGGTACAGCAACTGTACATCAACGGTACAGCAACGGTACCGCAACGATACAGCAACGGTACAGCAACTGTACATCAACGGTACTGCAACGGTACAGCTACGGTACCGCAACGGTACAGCAACGGTACAGCAACTGTACATCAACGGACAGCAACGGTACAGCAACGGTACAACAACGGTACAACAACGGTGCATTGACGGTACAGCAGCGTTACAGTAATAGTACAGCAACGGTACAACAACGGTACAACAACGGTGCATTGACGGTACAGCAACGGTACAGCATCGGTACGGAAAATGACAACAACGGTACAGCAACGGTACGGAAAAGGACGACAACGGTACAGCAACGGTACGGAAAAGGACAACAACGGTACAGCAATGCAGAGAGTAAGTCTTGGCATCTACTCAGTTTCGAGGCATCTTATTGAAGAGACTGAGTTAATCGGCCAAAAAATATGGACTGGAAGACTGTGCAGCGAACTGGTGCACTGTGCAGCATGCCATATGCAAGAGAACGAGGCGTGGGGACTGGTTGACTGTACAATCGCCCCCAGGATGCCATTAAGGCAAGGCATGAGGGCTAGTGGACTGTACAATCGCCCTCAGGATGCCATTAAGGCAAGGCATGAGGGATAGTGGACTGTACAGTCGCCCCCAAAATGCCATTAAGGCAAGGCATGAGGGCTAAAGGACTGTACAGTCGCCTCAGAATGCCATAAGGCCGACACATGTGGACTGACGCACTGTATTGCCTCCCCCAGTATGCCGTGAGGACTTATATCGGGCGACAGGACGAATTTAAAGCTAAGGGCCTCATGACTGTGACTTTGACCGGTGCAGGTGATGACTACATCAGGCGAAGTCATATGACTGTGACTTTGACCGGCGCAGGTGATGACTCCATCAGGCGAAGTCATATGACTGTGACTTTGACCGGCGCAGGTGATGACTCCATCAGGCGAAGTCATATGACTGTGACTTTGACCGGTGCAGGTGATGACTACATCAGGCAAAAACATATTTCTCCCGCAACAAACTGGTGACAAATAGAGCAGGAAATTTGAATAGCGGCAGCGACGGCGCGTGAAGTCATTTCCGACCTGAGCAAAGAGGTTACTTAGCCTCCCGCTGCTGTAATAAGCAATAAGCCATATGCTTACTCAGCTTGTTAGTTAAGTGGGCAACCTGGCAGAAAATGGTTATAGGCTCCCGGTAAACAATATTGCAATAGCTTTACATAAAATGCTATTTTATTTTATGCAGCGCTGAAGACTTAAGTTTATCTTGCATGTTCTTATAAGTATCAAAATGTCGCGACTGTGAACCCGGCAGCGGATCACTCCACCTCGGCATTGAGGTTCCCCTAATTACCCCGAAAATATTATTTTGTGGAAATTTATGCGCAAAAAAACATTCTTAATTCTAACATTCTTGACATAAATACAGGTCCGTGTATATTTTACAAAATATATATATACACAAAGTTTTTTATTATTTAGAATATGCTTGAAAATTATTCTACACATCAAATATAACTTGTTTGTGACAGCGCTAACCAAACTTAGTCTCAATTTATAAACTCGTAATGAATGTTAGAGCAACTGCTACTCAACCGCCGGTACAATCATTGCATACAATCGCAGGACTATAGTTAAGTATAGTTAAGTTTAGTGTAAATAAAGTATAATTAAGCTTAGCAGATATATGAAAAGATATCAGTTCATGATACAAGTCCGGATTAAGAACTTACATCAAAGTTTCCTCGATAAGTTATTTTAAACAAAGTTATTTAGGTCTTAAGAACGTGAAATACTTAAAAAATAATAAAATATAAAATAAAATAAAGAAGCAACAAAATATATTGTTTTTCATTCAATGGAAAAAATACTCTCAAATATGTCGCTAATGATGCAGCATGTGGCGACCGAACGGACCCTTACTTGGGTACTTATTGTACTCTTACTTGGGTACTAATTGTACCCTTACTTGGGTACTTATTGTACCCTTACTTGGGTACTTATTGTACCCTTACTTGGGTACTTATTGTACCCTTACTTGGGTACTTATTGTACCCAACGGGCGTAGCACTGATACGTCATTTTGGTGGTCTAAACCGGGTCAGGCTGACACATACAAGCTTATGACATACATCTTAGGATGACATACATCTTAGTCTATTAATTGGCGTCTTGTTTAAAAACAACGCAACTTTTTCAGTTAATTGTCTGCTTAGAAGCAACCGCCTTTCTCAGCTCGTCACTAATTGAGCTGAGAAAATATACAATAATGTTGAAGGCTGAGACATGCATCACACACCCAAGCATCACACACCCTAGCATCACACACCCAAGCATCACACACCCAAGCATCACACACCCAAGCATCACACACCCAAGCATCACACACCCAAGCATCACACACCCTAGCATCACACACCCTAGCATCACACACCCATGCATCACACAGTTGGTATACGCAGAACTTGTTCTTCAAACGTCCGGTCAATCCTCGACGCGGTACAGTGACACTCAAAAGTACTGGCTACATTACAGTTTTATTCATGTATCAAGTTAACGTGCGAGATTTTACAGGGGTAAATTTTTTTATTTTGTTTAATAGAATCTAAACTATGCTTACTTTCAATATACTTTCTATATAATGTTTCCAGTACTTTTAGCAATATATTAACCGAATATTAGGTAAAATCTCGCACTTCAACTTGAAACATATGAAGAAAAATGTAATGTATCCAACATTTTTGCGTGTCACTGTAGTTCTCGTGAGCCTCGGCCACAAGCAGCCCCGGCACGAAGCTTTTATAACGAAATAATAAATGTTCTTGAGATGCGCGCGTAGAAAAGCTTCCTGTGTGTGCCAGTACATAATTCTAATGAGCAACTTAAAATTTGCAGTGAAACAATTTTTTGTAAGACGATGACAGATAAATTTAGTCTAGTTCCGTCCATGCTGAGACAACAGTGTTTTTATTTCAGGCAGTGTTGAGTTGTTATGTTGTTTTTTTTCACGTAATTTGTCCTTGTTGAATATTATGACGTCGTACTAATTGTATAATTGTAAATGAACGTAATTGTATAGGAGCGAACGTATCGTCAACGACTAGCAGGCGCTTCAAATATTATAGACGGCTAGCCTATTAATTTAAGATATCGAAACTTCTCTATTACTACTCAAAACAAACGGATAATATAACTAACATATCCTACCACATCCTACGTATCCTACAAACATTCCCGCTGATGTCCTACCAAGAGACTCGTTATCTCCTCAAACAACTTCCAAATTCCCACTAGTTTCCTTAATATCATTCTCTCTATCCAGGCTCGCTCTCTTATCCAGGCTCGCTCTAATTAATATCAGCACCAGGAGCTACCAGCAGCCGGGCAGCCATGGACTGCAGCGCTTCACACGGCGGCGGCGTTCCCAGGCGGCGGGATGACCGGCAGACCACCGCCGCTCCCACGCAGTGCCCTTCCTCAGCTGCAATTATGGCCGCCTGCGCTGACCAGCGCGCTTCTCGGGAGATGCTCAGGTGCTTCTCTGGTGCTTCTCAGGTGCTTCTCAGGTGCTTCTTGGGAGTTTCTCAGGTGCTTCTTGGGTGCTTCTCAGGTGCTTCTTGGGTGCTTCTCAGGCGCTACTTGGGTGCTTCTCAGGTGCTTCTTGGGTGCTTCTCAGGTGCTTCTTGGGTGCTTCTCAGGCGCTTCTTGGGTGCTTCTCAGGCGCTTCTTGGGCGCTTCTCAGGCGCTTCTTGGGTGCTTCTCAGGCGCTTCTTGGGCGCTTCTTGAAAGTTTCTCAGGAGCGTCTTTGTGATTTCTCCGTTTGTCATGATTTTCAATTGATTCTTCATTTGGTTCATTTGGTTCACTAGCAATTGTCAGGTGCTTATCATTTAGTTACTGAGTCTTATCGTTTGGTTGGCATCGTCCGGTTCAGTAAACGGTTCATCTCTCGCACCGCTCCAGATGCCCAGCGCAGCCCAGCAGCCGCGCCCGCCTCCCTGCCTAGCATCTGGTCCACGAATACTGCTACCTGCGCTCCATTTCCTCCATCCGCTTCATCTCTCCTCTATCCGCTCCATCTCCTCCATCCGCTCCATCTCCTCCATCCGCTCCATCTCCATCTCCTCCATCCGCTCCATCTCCATCCGCTCCATCTCCATCCGCTCCATCTCCTTCATCCGCTCCATCTCCTTCATCCGCTCCATCTCCTTCATCCGCTCCATCTCCTCTATCCGCTCCATCTCCTCCATCCGCTCCATTTCCTCTATCCGCTCCATCTCCTCCATCCGCTCCATCTCCTCTATCCGCTCCATTTCCTCTATCCGCTCCATCTCCTCTATCCGCTCCATCTCCTCTATCCGCTCCATCTCCTCTATCCGCTCCATCTCCTCTATCCGCTCCATCTCCTCTATCCGCTCCATCTCCTCTATCCGCTCCATCTCCTCTATCCGCTCCATCTCCTCTATCCGCTCCATCTCCTCTATCCGCTCCATCTCCTCTATCCGCTCCATCTCCTCTATCCGCTCCATCTCCTCTATCCGCTCCATCTCCTCTATCCGCTCCATCTCCTCTATCCGCTCCATCTCCTCTATCCGCTCCATCTCCTCTATCCGCTCCATCTCCTCTATCCGCTCCATCTCCTCTATCCGCTCCATCTCCTCTATCCGCTCCATCTCCTCTATCCGCTCCATCTCCTCTATCCGCTCCATCTCCTCTATCCGCTCCATCTCCTCTATCCGCTCCATCTCCTCTATCCGCTCCATCTCCTCTATCCGCTCCATCTCCTCTATCCGCTCCATCTCCTCTATCCGCTCCATCTCCTCTATCCGCTCCATCTCCTCTATCCGCTCCATCTCCTCTATCCGCTCCATCTCCTCTATCCGCTCCATCTCCTCTATCCGCTCCATCTCCTCTATCCGCTCCATCTCCTCTATCCGCTCCATCTCCTCTATCCGCTCCATCTCCTCTATCCGCTCCATCTCCTCTATCCGCTCCATCTCCTCTATCCGCTCCATCTCCTCTATCCGCTCCATCTCCTCTATCCGCTCCATCTCCTCTATCCGCTCCATCTCCTCTATCCGCTCCATCTCCTCTATCCGCTCCATCTCCTCTATCCGCTCCATCTCCTCTATCCGCTCCATCTCCTCTATCCGCTCCATCTCCTCTATCCGCTCCATCTCCTCTATCCGCTCCATCTCCTCTATCCGCTCCATCTCCTCTATCCGCTCCATCTCCTCTATCCGCTCCATCTCCTCTATCCGCTCCATCTCCTCTATCCGCTCCATCTCCTCTATCCGCTCCATCTCCTCTATCCGCTCCATCTCCTCTATCCGCTCCATCTCCTCTATCCGCTCCATCTCCTCTATCCGCTCCATCTCCTCTATCCGCTCCATCTCCTCTATCCGCTCCATCTCCTCTATCCGCTCCATCTCCTCTATCCGCTCCATCTCCTCTATCCGCTCCATCTCCTCTATCCGCTCCATCTCCTCTATCCGCTCCATCTCCTCTATCCGCTCCATCTCCTCTATCCGCTCCATCTCCTCTATCCGCTCCATCTCCTCTATCCGCTCCATCNCAGTTATAGGCGTGCGTCTTGCGTCGCAGTTATAGGCGTGCGTCTTGCGTCGCAGTTATAGGCGTGCGTCTTGCGTCGCAGTTATAGGCGCGCGAGTCAAGCTTATGAGGCAAATCTAAAGTTGTATGTTAAATTCATCTTTGTTCTAAATTAAACTTTTGCACAATACCCATGAACATATCGTACTTTACCTTAAAAATTAGATCAGTACTCAGTATAGATCAGTACTCACTAGAAAATGCACTCTCTGCAGTGACAGAGAGCTCATTTTCTCGTCCGTCCGTGACGTGAAGTCACAGACGGACGGACATGACGAGCATATAATAGCGCCTTTTTTTCCATAAATGAGAAAATGCGCTAAAAAATTCAACAAGCGTGACTATAACGTCTAAGATCATCGAATTCTCAGTGTTATTATCTTTCTGAAATTGAATCAGTGAGCCAAGTATTAGAAAAAATTGAATAATTAGTTCAGTTAACCTAATATAAAATTTCCAGACATGTTCATCTGACAACAGAGGAAACTTGGAGGAGAGCCTTATCAAATCCAGCCAGATACGATAAAATTTTTTCAATAAGCTATCAACACTTGCATCACACCTGGCATTTCCAACACCGTAAATCATGAATAAAAAACTTCAGTTCAAATGAATTATTAGTTGAAATCCCTGAAAATATTCTATTATACAATTTAATTATTAATAAATCAATGCTAATTTTTTTAAATTTATTATTCCTTTTATATCATTTTAAAATTTAATTTAAATATTAATTTCAAATAACGTTTCGTTGAAGATCATGCAGTATTTCTCATCAACAATTTTTACTACTCATCTCAATTCAGTAAATTAGCCTTTTTTATAGTAATAATAATTAAAATATGTGGTTCCTGCTGGATATTTTATTGAGATTTTACAACGTTCCGATTACACCTTATCCATTATCAGTAAAGTGAAGGTTTTGCGACAGTTAGACTTAGATTTCGCAATAATAATAATATACGTTTAAAAATTACTTTTTAAAGACAACACTTCCAAAGAATCCAGGGTCTCCAATCTTACAGATGTACAATGAATTTCTCATCTAATTTTCGAAAATTAAAAAAATTACCTTTTCAATTTTTTAAATATATATAAAACAGACAGACAGACAGACAAGAAGTGAAGTTAAAGAGAAGTGTTGTAAAAGTGTGAAACTTCACTTTACCTCGTAATGAATAATGTGCATCATTCGTAAAATTATACCAAAATGTCCCTTGGAATCCATGCAATTCGAATGTTAATTCGTCGAATTGAGGAGAACAATGCGAAAAATATTGTGTAGAAAAAACCTACTCTTCGTTCTTCAACGAAACGTGCGATAAAATTTATACGATTGCACAAATTTCTGTTAGCTTTTTTTATTTGTAGTATTTAGCGATTATACAATTCCGTGTGCTTTTGTTAAACTATATATTATTTATACAATTATATGCAGCTCTCTGTGTTTCTGTCAGAGCATATACAATTATACAATTAGGGGAGCGCCCGTTAAATAGTTAACAACTATACACAGTTCCATACAATGCTGGTTTCGTGAGCACAATTGCTAACGTTAACACAACTACCACTACACAACTACCACTACACAACTTGCTACCACTACACAACTATACCTCGAGCTTGTAAGAGTTACACTAATTATGAAATTGTCCTTTAATTTAAACTGACGCGCATTTTTACTCGATATTTAATTTCAACTTCTAGCACAAGTTTTGCAAGAGAGTAGTATCAGATGCTAAAATTAAGGATTTTTCAAATAAAATTTGTTTTCTTTTCCTTAGCTTTACTGATATGAAGCATTTAACTTTTTTTATCTTGTTTGTTTGGATGGCAAGACGCAAGTATACTATTTTTACTGATATGAGTCAGACAATTTTTTTATCTTGTTTGTTTGGATGGCAAGACGCGAGCAAAACAAAGCGTGGTCACCGCAACCCGGAAGACGCTGTCTTGGACGCTGGCGCTTTTTTTCGCGGCTTCTTTTTCCGCATTGAAGGCAGGCCGCCACCTGCCTTCTACCCTGCGCACGATTATCTACCCTGTGCAGGATTATCTACCCTACGCAGAATGATCTACCCTGCGCAGGATTATCTACCCTGTGCAGGATTATCTACCCTGTGCAGAGTAATCTACCCTACGCAGAATGATCTACTCTGCGCAGGATCATCTACCCTGCGCAGGATTATCTACCCTACGCAGAATGATCTACCCTGCGCTGGATTATCTACCCTGTGCAGAATGATCTACCCAGCGCTGGATTATCTACCCTGTGCAGAATGATTTACTCTGCGCTGGCTCATCTACCCAGCTCAGGATAATATACCATGCGCTGGATTATCTACCCTACGCTGGATTATCTACCCTGAGCTGGATTATCTACACATCTACACTGCGCTTATTTATCTACCCTGTGCAGGATCATCTACTCTGCACAGGATCATCTACACTGCGCTGGATTATCTACCCTGCGCTGGATCATCTACCCTGCGCAGAATTATCTACCCTACGCAGGATCATCTACTCTGCGCTGGATTATCTACCCTGCATAGGATCATCTACCCTGCGCTGGATTATCTGCCCTGCATAGGATCATCTACCCTGCAAAGGATCATCTACCCTGCGCAATATAAATTAATACCATCAAAATATTATACGAAAACAGAAACTAACGTAAATAAATGCTTCATGGGCGACTTAATTACATATAAATAGTGAAATCTATGAATTCTATGATTCGTTCATTCCATTTAGCGCTATTTTGTGACATATTGCAATCAGAAAAATAGTCAATGCAATGTTTTATTATAAAGCGCAGGCTCTCAATCAGTCGGTCTAGTGACTGATCATTTTTTCCCAACAAGTGAACGTTTTTCACTTATGTGTAAATAAAACTAACGCAGTATACGTTCAATATATTAAATTAAAACCAACCTCTTGCTGAGTTTGGTACAGCAAAGGAAATTGGTGTAGGTCAATTTGCATTACAAGATGCATAATTAATAGCAACTTCCTGCCTCGAACTTTATTTTAGTACTTAATAATAAAGCGATGTTCTTATTCCGTTATTCCGTGTGTATTAAAACACCGCTGAAAATACCGTTACACGACGACTTTAAAACGGTCCATAAGATAAGGTTGAATTAACTCTTAGTACCTACCTATTGAAATACATTTTGAACCTAGCGAGAAACTGTCATTTCCTCTCATTGTGTCCCGGTTATTTTGGAACGGTTTGCTCGCTGCGGAACACAAGACTCCTCGATTATCTCTTGGCTCCATTATAGTTCGATTATTTTGTGGCCAGAGCCCATGCCTCCATGGGCCACCCTGGGCCTGGGTCTCGACAGTGCCCATTTTCACGGTGAAGTCGTGGCCTTTGTCGTGGGCATTTGATCAACGGCTTCAATATCGCGCTGAATTATGGGGCACTTAGGGGCAACTGGGCACGTGCGGCGGTACAGTCACGGTAAACCTTGGACATGTGCGGCGGTACAGTCACGGTAAACCTTGGACACGTGCAGCGGTACAGTCACGGTAAACCTTGGACATGTGCGACGGTACAGTCACGGTAAACCTTGGACATGTGCGGCGGTACAGTCACGGTAAACCTTGGACATGTGCGGCGGTACAGTCACGGTAAACCTTGGACATGTGCGACGGTACAGTCACGGTAAACCTTGGACATGTGCGGCGGTACAGTCACGGTAAACCTTGGACATGTGCGGCGGTACAGTCACGGTAAACCTTGGACATGTGCGACGGTACAGTCACGGTAAACCTTGGACATGTGCGGCGGTACAGTCACGGTAAACCTTGGACATGTGCGGCGGTACAGTCACGGTAAACCTTGGACATGTGCGACGGTACAGTCACGGTAAACCTTGGACATGTGCGGCGGTACAGTCACGGTAAACCTTGGACATGTGCGGCGGTACAGTCACGGTAAACCTTGGACATGTGCGACGGTACAGTCACGGTAAACCNCCTGTTACTACAGCTCCTGTTACTACAGCTCCTGTTACTACAGCTCCTGTTACTACAGCTCCTGTTACTACAGCTCCTGCTACTTCAGCTCCTGTTACTACAGCTCCTGTTACTACAGCTCCTGTTACTACAGCTCCTGTTAGTACAGCTCCTGTTACTACAGCTCCTGTTAGTACAGCTCCTGTTACTACAGCTCCTGTTAGTACAGCTCCTGTTTTACAGCAGTGGTAGCTACTTGCAGCAGTGGCAGCTACTTGCAGCACTTGTTGCTTCCTGTAAAATGAACGAACGGTCATAGTACTAATTGCATAATAGATATCGAGATGAATAAATGATCTACATTATACGTATAAGGATATATTACAAATTAGGTTAATATAACAGGAGCTATTCAAGGTCTTACCCCAAACAATGGCAAACAAGGTTGGTTTGATACTACGGATAACTGAATCGACGAAGAAAAAAAAATGTCAATCTATAAGTAGCTTATATTGTTTGCAAAATAACTATATATTCTAGAAAATTAATGAAAGTGATAACAAAGATAAAGAGTGTCCCTACAGCGACCAGCAGCAGCAGGGCGCCGCCCAACACCTGCTCGGCGCGTGCGCGGCGGCGGAATTTCCAGTTTTTATTTCATTGGAGCGAGGGGGAGGTAAACCTTGGACATGTGCGGCGGTACAGTCACGGTAAACCTTGGACATGTGCGGCGGTACAGTCGCGGTAAACCATGGACATGTGCGGCGGTACAGTCACTTTCGTATTTATGAGGAATTTTACATACAGTATGTATTCTTTTGGCAAAAGCCTAGTATTAGACGCTAAAAAATAAATTTTTCAAGTTGCTAGCCACAATGAAGAAAGAAATAGCTTTCTTGCGCATCTATGAATTTTAAGAGAAATTATTGACAGTGAGAATCAGCCTATGTTGAAATTCGTCGTGAATTCATTCAGCTGCTATACAATTTCCAGCATTAAATTACATGTTCATCTTTACCTGCATACTTTGAGATTGGCTCGGTCAATTGAATTTCTCAATTATATTCCTAATTGCTTGCTTATATTAAAGCTTTAAATTTCACATTTTCGGCTAATATTGCTTTAATATCCTCATTAGTGTTTTACTTTAACAACGTCGATTATTAGGCATTTGGCAGCTAAATTGATTCCATCGCTTAAAGTAATATGGAGGATTTAATAAGGTCATTTCATTAATGAATTCCAATTGTCTAAACGTGTCAGCACCTACAGCTCCTGTTACTACAGCTCCTGTTACTACAGCTCCTGTTACTACAGCTCCTGCTACTACAGCTCCTGTTACTACAGCTCCTGTTACTACAGCTCCTGTTACTACAGCTNTATCTGGTATTATATTACCACATATCAAGAATTATCTGGTATTATATTACCACATATCAAGAATTATCTGGTATTATATTACCACATATCAAGAATTATCTGGTATTATATTACCACATATCAAGAATTATCTGGTATTATATTACCACATATCAAGAATTATCTGGTATTATATTACCACATATCAAGAATTATCTGGTATTATATTACCACATATCAAGAATTATCTGGTATTATATTACCACATATCAAGAATTATCTGGTATTATATTACCACATATCAAGAATTATCTGGTATTATATTACCACATATCAAGAATTATCTGGTATTATATTACCACATATCAAGAATTATCTGGTATTATATTACCACATATCAAGAATTATCTGGTATTATATTACCACATATCAAGAATTATCTGGTATTATATTACCACATATCAAGAATTATCTGGTATTATATTACCACATATCAAGAATTATCTGGTATTATATTACCACATATCAAGAATTATCTGGTATTATATTACCACATATCAAGAATTATCTGGTATTATATTACCACATATCAAGAATTATCTGGTATTATATTACCACATATCAAGAATTATCTGGTATTATATTACCACATATCAAGAATTATCTGGTATTATATTACCACATATCAAGAATTATCTGGTATTATATTACCACATATCAAGAATTATCTGGTATTATATTACCACATATCAAGAATTATCTGGTATTATATTACCACATATCAAGAATTATCTGGTATTATATTACCACATATCAAGAATTATCTGGTATTATATTACCACATATCAAGAATTATCTGGTATTATATTACCACATATCAAGAATTATCTGGTATTATATTACCACATATCAAGAATTATCTGGTATTATATTACCACATATCAAGAATTATCTGGTATTATATTACCACATATCAAGAATTATCTGGTATTATATTACCACATATCAAGAATTATCTGGTATTATATTACCACATATCAAGAATTATCTGGTATTATATTACCACATATCAAGAATTATCTGGTATTATATTACCACATATCAAGAATTATCTGGTATTATATTACCACATATCAAGAATTATCTGGTATTATATTACCACATATCAAGAATTATCTGGTATTATATTAACATATATCAAGGAGACACAGTATAAAACGATATATCTTAGCGGGAGCATTTATATGACTCTATGTCCTCATTTTATTATTTACTCTATTCTTATTTATTTTCTTGATATTTTAGATCATTCAGAGAAAACTCAAAAAGATCATTTAAATACTAAACTGAACATCGGTCCAGTAATTCGATTTTGTTATTATTTTATTCTAATAAAAGTGTTAGTGTAAGACGCCTGGGATTATACCGACCTGGCGTGGTGCTGTTATAATAATAATAGTAGTAATAATAATAATAATAATATTAATGATAATAATAGTAATAATAATAATAATAATAGTAATAATAATAATAATAATAATAGTAATAATAATAATAATAATAATAATAATAATAATAATAAAATAATAAT